GGGTATGGGGAGGTGACAACCCACAGCTTGTTTTTGAGCTGGTCCTGCCTGACCCACAGGCACGAGCATCTCTCGCAGCCCCGTGCTGGAGACCGGCCCAGCACTGTAAGGATGCTGCCAGCAATGGCATGGGCAGATTTTTTTACTGGTCTGAAGGACACCAGTGGTTTGGACCTGCACCTTTCTGGCTCACGGTGGCTCTCAGCTCAGCGCTTACTCCTCGCTCAGTTCAAGCTGAAATCTGGCAACAAGTACTGGGCCAGAAAAATAATTAATAACAATAATAACGCCCAGAGGGAGCTTCCCCGGGTGGAAAGCATGGCCACAGGGCAAGCAACAGGAGCAACCGGTGCCCTGTGAGCTCTCCTCCACATTTCAAAGCCATGCTGGAGCCTCCTCATGCTGACGGGCACCCCAGCATCAGACGATGTCATTTTTGGCAAAGCCCCGGCACGAAGCAGGAGGCAAGGTGGGGATGCTCCCACCCTGCCACAGTGGCCCCGGGCCAGCCAGTGCTGCCCCATCCCCAGTTGCCAGGCCCCCAGGGCAGGGTGGGCTTTGCTCAAGGGGGATCCAGCACCGAGCTCCAGACCTAGCAGGGCTGCACTGGCATTGCACGGAGTGCCGGAGCACGCTGGCCCAGCCGGCAGAGCCTGGCGAGCAGGTTATGACGTAAACCCCGGGGGTGGCGGCGTGGGCTCCAGCGCCCCAGTTCCCAGCTGGGCGCACACCCCTGTTATGGCAAAACCCATAAATACTCTCTTCCCAGCATCAAAATCCTTCACGAAGGTGTGCAGAAGCCCCCAGTCCTGCAGTCCCCCAGCCACGCCATGCTGTGCCAGCCGGCTCCCAGGACAGGCATTGCTCAGAGGAGGGACGTGCCGAGCGTGGGTGAACTTTCCTGCTCTGCCTGTTGCTGGCTGGAGCACCTTGGCACGTCCCCCCCAACACCATCAGGCCATGCATGCGCGGTGGCAGCTCCTCCACCATGCAGCTGGAGCTTGGGCAGGTCACATTGGAGGAGCCCAGTGGTCCGAGCCTGGGGTAATTAGGGCGCAAAAGGGGTTATTCCCTCTAAAAGGGGTTTCTGCTATTTTTTATTTTGGCTTCCCCAGGGAAATTTCCCCTGGAATAAGTGATTTCCCATCAAGCAGACTCCCAGTCCCACGTGAGCCCCTCCAGTTAAGCAGCCTTGCTGGCTTACACGTTGCTGCTTAAGAGCATCAGCGGATGCTCCGCTGGGTGCCCAGCATCTGGTGGCCAGGCTGGGATTTCCCCAGCCCCACGTTTTGGGGCAGGATGGGCGCATCCCTCCATCATCACCCTCCATCACCCCGCATCTCCCCGCTCCCACTGCAGTTACCCTCAGGGCCGGGTCCCAGGCGGTGATCTGGCAGAGCTCCAGCGCCCCGCACTTGGCTGAAAACAGGGGATGTTTCCCAGGGCTGGGCAGGGCATGAGCCAGGAATCACTTCCTCACTCCTATCAGAGGGGGGATAAGCATCAGCTCAGCCACTGATGGGATTCACTCACAGATACCCAAAGCCCTGCTGGCAAGGGGTCTCCAAAGGTCCTCAGGGCTGCACCCCATCACCATCACCACCACCACCCCCCCAGGGGAAGAGGTTCCCTGCCCCCCGCACCTCTCACAAGGCCCCAGGGGAAGGGGGCTGCATGGGGTGGCACCACCAACACCGCCTTGTGCAAGGACAAAGCCATTTTCCCCCAAACAACAGGGACACAGCCAGGCCCCAAGGCCAAGGGCAGCAAAGCAGCCCCCTCCCCCATGGCGGTCAAGCCCCCCCATCAGCCAGCCTCCCCTCCTTCTGCACCCCAAGCAAAACCCCAGCTCCATCCAAATCCTTGCAGTCCATAGGAGGGGAACAAACCATTTTTTGCCCCGAGATCACCTTTAAGGGCCACAGTTGCAACAGTCAAGAGGTAAAGTAGGGACCAGTGCCGCCTGCCCCAGCTCTCCTCCAGCGTAACTCCAAAACCAGGGAGGGAGGAGGAAGCACACTACGGAGCTCCAACACAAGAGCTGGGAAGGATTTGGGGGCTCAGAGGGGTCCTGCCGCTAGGCCTGGCCTTACCTTGGTAGGAGCCCAGGCAGAGGGAAAGGATCAGCACCCAGCCACTCCATTTGCTCTCCATGCCGTTCCCAAGACAGCCCTCAGTGGCTGGTTCCTCTCCTGTGCTGCTCCCAGACTGAGGAATCTTGGATGGGTTGGGAGTAGTGAGAACCCACACCTACGCAGGGCAATTACCACACCCCTCTCCTTACGCCTTGATTATAAAATAATCACCAGCCTGCGAGTGGAGGGAGGGACCAGGGGCAGGCAGGTATTCCCGGGAAGCTGAGGCCTCGCCACTCCTGGCTGCAAAGGGGAACGCTGTCCTAGCGCCACAGCCATTTTCTGTGCTCCTCACTCACCAAACAGACCATCACCCCTCACCAAAAAAGCAGCAGCAGTGCAGGCATTAAAGACCAGTAAATTTAGGACAAGTCAGTTAGCAGTGTATTTAGAGGCAGCCAAGTGGTTTGCTTCAAGCATTTAAAAAGACATTTGTTTTATCCAAAATAAAGCCAGGAACGAAGACAAAAGGAAAAGGCACATTAAATGCAAGTCAGCAATGAAGCCTGGTATCGGGCAGCTTCAGCAAGAACTCCCTCCGGCCTGTGTAAGGCCGAGAAATTGCAACACGGGGCGGTTGCCTCACACCGGGCATTGCGTTCGCCCCGGGAAGAGCGCAGCGGCAATCCCTGGGCAAGCCTCTTCCACCTCCAGCTGCGCTCAGTATAACAAAGGCTTGACGGGACACGCACGTTGCGAGGCGACGGCAACTCAATGGGAACCCAAATCCTGCCGGTCAGCCCCAGATTCCCAGCAACATTTTTGGGACGTGCCTTCTCCTGGCTCAGCGGCAAAGGGGGAAGGCTAACGAGATCCTTTGGCAACTAGGGCACACCAAGGAAACGAAACACACAAACTTACCGGTTTACTGGAGTTTTTATTGTTCATTAAAGAAGCTTTTGTGCAAAAATCAAGACAATGTTCTTTAGAAAGCAACTGCACGTGTCCCCCCAGCATAACTCAAGCAGGTCAGGTGCCACGGTCCACAGGAAGGGAGAAAACTAAAAAGAGACCCCCAGCACTAGCACAGGATTTCCCCTGGTTCACCCCGCCCGACGTGAATCCTTCCATGAAGGATCCACGAAGCACGAATCCTTCACTACTAAAAACCCAAGAAAATTAAAACCTTGCCAGCCTGTAAGAGCCAAGCATCAGTCCATCCCCACCTCCCCCCCCCTCCCCCCAAAAAGAAAATTCACGTTCCGAGAACGCCGTCCAGTTTAAAAGATCGAATACCATACTGCATGCCGTGGTGTAACACAACCCGTACCTCCAGGGCAGCGACGCCGAAGACAGCCCATTTCCTATCTGGCATATCTACCCCAACTGCGATACACCGCTGGAACCACTGCACGAGCCTGCCAAGACAGAAAGCTGCAGGGATTTTACATCTTTAGGGGGAAATTCTTCTTTTTGAGTTTGGTTTTTTTTTTTTAAAGCCACGAGTGCTTCAGCGTTCTGTACAAATGCAAAGACAAACCGGTATCGCTCTCTCTCAACACTGCCCAGGCATTTAGTATGTACATGTAAGTAACAAAAAAAAAAGCTGCAGTCAAGCGGGTTTTCCATTGAACTGCATGAAAATTACTTTGCTTGCTGCTAGAACTGGAGCTCCCGCCTCACCCAAGACACCACAGGAACAGTAGCAGTTGCTGGCACCTTTCTGAACAGGACTGGAATTTTCAAAGCTCCACCTCTGCCCAGCTCCTCCTTCCCAAAGGTCTCCTCAGAGCTACTTCGGTGCCTCAGTTTTGGGGGTTAATTTGATCAGAACTATGCACTAAACGCTGGTAGGGGATGCAAGGTCTGTCTCAAGCAACGTAAGCATGATTCTCATTCTCCAGGCCCCTTAGGCCTCGAGGGCCTGACCCATTTCAGGGTAGCAGCCTGCCTTGAAAGGCTTTCCTTCAGGAGTTCGGGACGCTGCAGAGGCACGGAAGGCAGGTTGTCAGGTATGCCAGCGGAGCTGCCAAGTACCTGCTACAGTGCTCTGACCGTCTGCCATCTCCGCTTGCTCCTCAGGTGCATTTCCCAACAGAAATGGGAACTCCAGAGGGGAAAAAAAATCCACACTTCCAACTACTCAGAAGGGCGAGTGTCAGTGAGAACAGGCAGCAGCAATGGAAACGGCCCGCGAGCCTCGTAGCGCCTCTCGAGTTTTGGATGACTGACATATGCTATGAGAGAAAAACCGAGCAAGGGAACAAAGTGGCAGTTTACAATAAAAACCATTTTTCCATGCGTTCTGCCCTCTATGCCGAGCTCACTGTGACGTGCACAGCCCCTGCTGTCTTTCTTCCTATCTGTCTCCTACCGACCCAGCTCGCTCCACCTCCTTGGCACCCGGCTGGCTGCGTGTAGGAAGCTGCAAGACTAAGCTGAATTGAGCAACTAGGATAAGAAAAAAAAAAAAGGAGCCATTCCTTAAGTACGTCAGCATGCTTCAAAGGACTGAAATACCACTGTACAGGGCTTGACAGTAGAACACCCATGCTTAGACCGAGTAGTCCAAGGAAATAAAAAGAGGACATGATCAAAGGTGAGGGAGGGTTTCCTTAACACCAGGAGCCATTAACTACGGTCACTCAAATGCAAAAGCGTGGTCACTCAAATGCAAATGCATCTTTTTAGGTACCAGTTACTCTGAAAGTTAGCTGGGCACACCAAGTCCCTTCCTCGGCATCTGCAGAGCTTTGAAAATTCCAGCCGAAGGGATTCCCAGATTCAACATTATCCCTTAAGAGTTCTCCCTACAGTTACACAGAAAAATTAATATTCCAGCCAGATGTTAAAAATGCAAAGCATGTAATCTTCCCAATGCTGACTACAGAAAGACATTTGAAAGTTTAGTCACTACCTTGTTCTTTTTTTTTAAATTACGAGATAATAGTCTTGTCTCATTTCACCTTCTCTGCCATTCTTCCCAGCACCTACAAAACAATTCAGCCTACCAATTAAAAATCTACAACACACTGGCTATTTTTAGGAGCATAATGAGTTAAACTGTACAGTCAGAAATATCTTTGTTAAGTCAACAATGAAGATCTGATCCTTCAACAGCAGCACTGCTACAGAAGAGTTACAATAAAGGAACCTGAAGGTCAAATTGTTAATGAGGCAGAGAGGAGGGACATTTGAGATACAGCTCTCCGCCAACCTCAGCCCACATTTTTAAGAGCCATGGCAAACTTTCAGGACTGGAAAGTCGTCTTCTAGTTCCACACATGACGTTTGCAGTGATCGACAGCCTAAAGGGGAAGAAATAGCATATGTTAGTGGAAAAAAAGCCTGTTTGCAAACAAGCGTGCATCTACGCATGCAATTCAATGCCTTATTCTGAGCCAAGATCTTGGGAGCAAATCTGTTTTTCTTAAAGTGATTCCAGAGAGGACAAGAATAAATAACAGCCTCATCCCCACCCAGAAGCTTCAGGAAAGAATGCTGATGACCCTTAGCCATTAAGGCTTGGCACAGAAAGCGTCAGCCCACAGCAATACTGGAAGCCAATTTTTAGGGCCCGATGAGAGATGGTGACACGGTCTGCTGGCTGCGGGAACAGAGACTAAATACAAAGCTCACATTGTACCTTGCTATAGATTCTGAAATGCTTAGCAGAGGGGTGGGGGACAGGAACGAAGGGGAGAGGAAACAGTCAGCTTTAAGAAAGCTAAGGGCTACAGAAGACCCTCTAATCAAACTCAACCACCCTTTTGCTGCCCGAAACTGGAATTCATCTGCTTGAAAGTGTGGTATAGAAGCCAGAAAAGTCGTTTACAAGGAGCTATTAAAGACCAATGGGAAGCATGAGGCAGAATCCTGCTCTACATACGTTGCACTGAGCAGCAGTCTCCATGTTCTTACACCAGTAACCTGGACCCCAGACACAAGCATCATCCCCCAGGAGAGGCTGTTTAGCTGATCCACAAACTCCAAGTTTCTGTGAAAAGAACAGCAGCAGAGTCAGCAACTTTCTATTTGCACCAAGAGATCTCAACTCCAGCCTTACGCCCGGGCTTCCACCTGACCGAGTGTGGAAGCAACACTGAGGTAGCTTCAGGAGCTCCCACGCTTGCAGCTGAACAAGTAGATGTGAAGCAGTAATCTGACAAGAGGAAGAATTAAGTTACCGCAACTGCTTCTTCATATTAAGTTTCGAGAAACAGAGCTTTGAGAAAGGGACCTTTCTCAAGAAAGGTCATTTAACTTCCTCTCATCGCATTCAGGGCACGCTACACCTTGTTACTGAACCTCAACAGTGGATAACCACTGGCACCTCTTTTTCTTCTGTCCTTCCTCACTCAAGGCTGGCAGTCAGACAGCTGTCCATTCAGTAAGCCCCAGGCCTTGCACAACCGCATTTGCTCCAAGCATTCAGCGTGCTGATTTTCATTCCAGCAGAGTTTCTGCATGCTAGGCACTGAAAGGCGTACAGAGGAGTAGGCAGGACTGTATCAGAGCCCGTACTCAATAGAACTGAATACTCACAGTGCAAACAAAAGTGGGATCCATCACCTCTGCCAAGAGTTGCACAACCACGGGTTCATACTGTTCCACAAACTGAACACACTGTAACAAAACACAGGTTGAGAGATTCTCCTGTTAAAGGCTTCAAAGGAGGAAGATACGGTCTTCAGCAGGCGGGCCTGTACACTATTCCAGACACCCCAGTACTACGCTCCAAACTGATACACGAGAAGCTTCAGCTCTGCAGATTGAAAAGGACTCTGCACCACACTAATCACATAACTAGCTCATTTTTTGTTAGCTCATACCGGCCCGCAGCTGTCTGCAGGCAGGTTATGATGAGAAAAGGGTCAAAAGGAAGAGAACCAAGCAGGACAGGCTTTGGGAAAAGAAACAAGCAGGACAGGCTTTCATTTGCAAAGCTTAGTCTCTAATCGTGGAGATCACTGCTGCCTCGAGAGGAAAGGACACTGAACGAGCTGGAGACAAAACATCCTGAACAGTAATGCAGTCACGATAATCCAGCTCAGTAATGACGTTTAAGCACTTTTAGCCCAAGTAGTCACTCTTCACTTCAGACCAGGCAGCAGCACGAAGGCTTCCCCATCGATAACAGTCAGCCCTCTAGTGGAGAGGCCATCCCCAAAGCACAGAAAGACACTGGCATTCTCAGCAGAGACTAACGGCACTGATTAATAAGCAAACCACAGCAGTTAGCAGGAATAGCTGTTTCGTAGCTGCTTGAAGCCTGTATATTGTATGCCTAGCAAACTTACGAGCAGTTGCCACTTGCTGACACTCAGCAGCCACCTAACAAGATTTCCAGGTAAATCTTGGTAGCAGTGGCCTAACAGGTGCTGCTTTTTGCTGTCTCACTGGCATTATGCCAGCCTACTTCCAAATTACTTTGTTAATCCCCGGAACAGAATCAGTGATGAGGAAAAAGAAAAAACCTTCAGCTGTTCCCACCCACTGTTCTCAGAGGATTTCCAGGCAAACCTTTTCTGACTGCAAATTAGTACAACAATCCAGCCAGACAATTCAGGCCCTTAAAAGTCTCCATCTATTCAAAGGACTGCCAACCCCTCAAGGATGGGGAGTATGACAGCCTAATCACCCCACACCCCAAACTCCTTCCAGCCTCTAGCAGAGGGAGAGATTCCTTCAATTCTGACCTGCATTACACTGACTACTCTTATGGAAACCACCAGGAGATGCTGCTTGCTCATTTTTTCCCCCCAAATACTCTGCAAGATGTTTCGTCCTTCTGTTGGTCTCTACCTGCCTTGTTCCGACTGGAAGGCAGGCTGCCACACAGCAAGGCCTGGGTAGTCATTTGACTGCCTCGGATCAAGCCTGCTCCCTCTTTTTTGCTCTACTGCACATGAGAAGCTGCTATGCTTTGGTGCTAACTAGTAAAAGAGCTAAGAAGGATCAGGTTGCTGAACACAACCCAGTCCCAGCTGCACCTGTGGACAGTTTGTCTCCAGCAAGAGATCAAGGCAGTTGGCCAAACACAGACACCTCTACTATATAGAGTACCTGGACATTTATGGCAGAAGTAGAGACACTTGAGAGACGGACCTAAAATTAGCACGTAGACAGAAAAGCAGGTGAAACACTCAGAAAATGAGGTGAGCGTAATCATCACTGCAGGACCTACGTAAACCCAACAAATCAACAAGGACAGCCCCCAACCACCAAGGCCATTGCTTTTTAGCCCACCTCCTGCACAAGCGCTTTACCTGATCTCTGACAGACTCTGGCAGGAAGTGACAAACTTTTTCCAGTAAAGCCTCAATTTCAGCTGTCGTGGCATTCTTCTCAAGTTCTTTGTCTGCATAAGCTACCACCATCTTGCAGATATCACAGAAGCCACCTGCAGGTTTCACTAAAACTGAGAAGAAAAAAAAAAACAAACACTGAACACCAGTGCTTAGGCAGTTCCCCCAGACAGAAGAAAGGAGGCAGCATCAGCAAATTACTAAAGCACATGTCCTTAAAAGAGATATAATCATAGGTGAACTAGCTCATTTTGCAACACCACCGACTCCTCATTACCAACCTGGCTGCTGTGGCTGCTGTGGAGGCTTGTTGGCTGCACAGCATTTCAGCATAACGCACACAGCTTCAGGATTCGTTGCCTCCAAGAGCATGTCAATCAAAGCCTGGCCGTAGACATCTATGAAGTCCTTACACTGGTCTTTGACACTTGCTGGGAACAGGTAGCAGACAATCTCCATTTCATGTACAATCTCCTCCTGAAGCACAAGGAAGGATGCATGGCAAACGCGGAACAGAAATCCAACTCAATTCACAAGCACACATTTTCTTTAGTCTGTACCACCCAGAATGGAAATCTTGCTCTCATGAAAACAGCCAATAAAATGAACTTTCCTTCCCCCTCCAATACAGCCCCCATCTTAGCCAAAGCCTAGGGAGAGGTACCATTTCTACCACTTACACACCTCTGTCTTGTTGCTCTCCAAGAGGCCAGTCACTTCTTTCACCATGGTCTCACATATTTCACACACGGAAAAAGTCTTCTCTTGAACTGAGGCTTTCTGAGTACACAGAAGAAACATACAGAAACAGTAAATCAGCGCTTGACCACTTTTCACAGGGACAATTTGTAAACCATCAGTCTAACAGCATTCACATTCAGGTGCAGCACACCAATTCATTTACCTAGCTGGCCAGTTTGAGCTGAATTCAAAAGGTCACACAGAAGCCAAAACCAACCCTAAAGGTCTGTGTAAAAAGCCTTTCTGAATGAACAGCCATTTTGTATGACTAATTAAGACGACAATCCCCACGTATGAAGAGGGGAGTTGAATTTAGTAGATAAGGAGAAATAAGCAGCCCCAGAGCGACTGGAGTCAAGGGAAGTAGGAAGTGTTTTTTAGAAGTGTGTTAACTGAGGACAAAATTTACTAAAATTGAGAGCACCCTCCTGTTTGCAAAAGAAACCTAGAAATTGAGGGACTTGAGGGAAATTGTTTGGAGCCTGTTAATCAGACGGTAACTGTCCTCAAAAGACTGTTTCCTTTCCAAAAAAAAACCCCCTCAGCCCATGTCTCACCTAAAGACCATGGGACCCTAAATGTGCTTCTCCAAACTCAAGAGCTTCAGCATTCTCTGATCACTCATCTGCACAGGCAGAGTGCTATCCCCTTTTTAAAAGGGATCAAAGCATAGTAGAGCAAAACTCAAATTCAGCAATTCGGCCTCTAACATTTGAGGTGTCATTTAGAATGGCTGCTATACTCTACTGCTGGAACAAGAGTTCCCAATTTCAATCCTGAAACCTTATAGCTTCGGTTTAGCATAGGCTCTGCTATTCTAACAAATCAGTCAGCTCTCCTACTTCACCAATCAGCATCTGAAACAGGAAGAGGCCAAGGAGACTTGGATTATTCTATGTATAAAAGCTCCTATTTTTCTGTTTCACCTAGTTCATTACACTAAAGCAAAAAGGAAGGTTAAGCCGTTGAGTACACAAGTCCATCTTACCTCCACAGTTTCCATTTTCACTTCATGAACCACTTGAGCTGGCACCAGAGTCTGAAGGGGAACAGATTTCACAGAAGGACAGAACCCAACCATGGCACAAATGTCCTTTGGTTGCTGGAAAAGAGACGTATAAGCAATTTTTAAAAGTCTAGAAGACTCTGCTCTTTCTGTGGAGCCTGTGAGCGGGCACAGTGAACAAAGTTTTAAAAGGCTCCAACACAACTAGAAGTTTCATGACTACTTCTACCTCACATATTGCCAAAGCATTTGATACGGTTATAGGCAGGACAGCTACCAGATTAAATTTAGTAGTTCCTTTAAAAGAGGAAGAGGTTAGGCCACATCCATTTAAAAACCCCATTTACCATGAGCTAATAAACTATGCAAGCCCTTCAAAGGAGTTGACTTAAGAGCTACCAACACCAAAACAACACCAACACCAGCATCACATTAGACCTGCATCCACAAAGCTGCTCCCCTGAAAGCTTTAAGTAATCACAGAAGAAGCTCATTATCCTGACTTCAGAGTTCACCCAAAAGCTGAAAGAAAAGCCTAGAAGAAAGGACTCCTTTTCTCATCCACAAGCTACCTTCTTTAAAGCATCCAGTAACATCACATTTTGCAAACAGAAAGAGTTTTCCGCGTTACTGAACACACCCTATAAGAAACAAAAGTTAACCACGTTAAAACCTAAGCCTAACCCTTTTTACAAGTATCTGCAGTAACTGTATTTTGAGTGTTCTTTTCACAGTAAGAGGGAAAACCGCAAACAGGAAAAAACCCCAAACTTTAAAAAGGCTTTCTAAGCCTTTCCCAAAGGTTTTAGAAACATACATTACTAAATGCAAAAATAAACCCCTGACATGAGGCAAACTGCTCTAAGGAGGCCATGTTATACCCACACAAAGTGAGAAAGGCTGTACAGGGTAATACGCAAAGCTTGAGTTTTCCCACCTAAAGTCTACTTAAGCTAAAAAAAAAAATTACCTTTGGTCCTACAGGTAATTAGAAGATCATACCCCACCCTGTCACTAGGGCATCAAGCTTCTTACAGCAGAGGCTTATGCAACAGTTAATACATCATGCCAAAACCTCATGCACAGGCAAAAGCAGTATCTCAACGATACCGTGCTGCTTCAGACTACTCCAGGCAGTTCCTTTAAGTCAAGCCCTTTGGTTCATGCACATTGTAAGAAGCATTTCCAGGTATTAATGTTACAGCAACACCCACATACACACAGCATGTTCTCTCACAGAGAGATGACAGACACAAGGTCTCCCAGGACTGGTTAACTCAAAAGCTCAAATAGCTCTAGGAAGCCAGAGCCTAAAGGCCTCCCACATCATCTTTTCAATTCATATACTCCAAACATCTATACCATTGTCCTAGATTTAAAGGTTAACCAAGAAAGACCCGGGGACAGCTTCACTCAAGCCCTTTTGAGCCCAGACTTTAAACCAGAAGCTGACAGGAGCCACCGGCATACTTTCTCCACATCTATCCTCCTTGTATGAAAGCGAGCGTATTTTCTGCTCTACTGGCCAAAGCATAATCGGTCTGAAATCTTAGTAGCGGCATCTGGAGCTGGAAGTAGGACTGATCCACTGGAGGAAGTCTATAGTCCTTCTCTGGTTTAATCACATAAATATCCCTTGTATCTGTCAACACCGAGTACAATCACACCATGTACACAGCTAATAGAGCAGGAAGTGAACTACAAGCCCTTTAAGAGCAAGAAGTGAACTACAAGCAGGCTATCACCACAGGCAAGTTGCTCACCTACCTGATCCTTCTGTTGACAGGGGAGATTGGAGACAGAGGAAGAAAGGAGAAATTAAAGATAACAGTTAAGAGGAAAAAAAAAAAAAACCATCAAGCACTTGGAACCCCATATACTCCCCTTCCATGAAGATGATGGAATATGACATGGTCCCCACCCCAAAGATCCTTAGCATTGCTACAGCAACTCACATTTAATTGCACAGTGCTAACCAGCATTATTCATCTGAAGTTATTAAAGCATCCTGGGCAAGACTACCTCCAAAGAGTCTGAACAACGCTCAGCCGGATGCAAGGTGTGGTCATATTCCAATTTCAAGTATTAACAACACACTGCATTACGATGCTTAAAATGGAAAAGCTAACTGTTCTTGGAACAAAGATTTGCTCCCCCCCCCCCCCAAACACTTAAAAAGCAGTATGAGCTTCTAAGTAGCCTTTTAACAACTGGAAACAAAAAAACAGTAGTGTTGCCAAATTCAGGTTCAAGTCAGCCACATACTCTATTCATAAATTCACCTATAATTTGTTATGTTATTGTGGCATCCAGGCACTGTATTCTCTAAGGAAAGGCTTACCCATTTTGTTTTAAAGAGCTTTAAGATCTCTGGATAAAGAGATGCTACAGAGGTGGTCGGAGGTAAAATATATTGTGTGTTGCTGCAGACCAGAGGTGGTGCAGTACCACTCACTTCCCATGGCTCCTATCAAGAGCCCAGAGAGCAGGAGCCTTGAGACAGCAATTTCAGAAGAAGGACATTTAGTCTTGCTTCAAATAGACACAGTATCTCTAACACTTGAACCAATTTTGCAATACTGCAACAAAGACCAACCATAATATGCATAACACAGTATTTGGGGGGCCGTGGGGGAGTGGTGTAAGTACAGGACTGAGATAAAAGCATATAAAGGAACCAATATAAGGCATCTTCTGTGTTTCAAAGGACTGGAGTGCGGTTTGCACTGCTGAAGTGGTTGTGAAAGAAGAAGAAAGTGATAAAGAAAGCATTCTGAGGCTGAAGTTACTATCAAATTAAATGCCAAGTTCAAAGTGTCAACCACCAAGACTTACAGAGCAAAGGCTCTCCCCAGACCCTTACTGCAGTAAATGTATCCTGTTTCCAAATAAGTTAGCTACACAAAGGAGAAAAACGAACTGAAAGCGAGTGTTATATTCTACTGATCTTACCATGTGCATCATCATTTGGATAGCCAAGTCAGAATATTCAGAGATATAGTTCTTGCACTGCAGGAAGTGGGGAAAAAAAGCCGTGTAAATATCAAACCACTGAAGCCATAGAGTTGATCTAGAATTCTTTAATACCTCTCAAGGTATTAATTTACCTGCTCTACTTAATAAGCGTTCTGTTGTCTTTCAGAGCTTGTCCCAAATATAAGATGGCATTTCAGGTTACAGAATCATTGCACACATAGCTGCTTATCTGATGAGTCCTTTCCTCCTCCTCTCAGGGCAAAAGCACTCCCCCTCACATTACCCTGCCAGATCAGTTTTATGAAAAAGGCCTTTCAGGGCTAGCAGCAATCCTGAGTCTTCTTCCTCCTCCCCAGTCCCATACACACCACCCCACCCAACTTTCTTGACCAGAAAGTTTTGATATCGGTGTTGTCATTGTTATACTGTGTAACACATCCTAAGCGTGACACACTCTCCGTTGTTTTATTAAATAGAGATTATGTTGAGAGGATTAAGGCACTGAACAAACTATTTCATGTTTGCACACAGGAACAGCTTTTTAAACAAAAAAGACAGCTTACCATATCAGACATTCCAGGTCCCAAACGGTCACACTCCTCCTTGGCATGAGCAACTAAAGACTTTACAAAAGACGAGTTTGTCCTCACAGCTTCCTGAACATCAGTGACCAGCTGAATGCAATCCTGGCATACATCCCCACTTCCCTGGACAAAGAGTGAAAGGAAACCGAAGTTGACGTATCTTCACATAACACATTTTAGAAGCTTCCGTTACTACCAAGTTTTAAAAGCTATTTTGAACTATATACAAACCCTAATAAGTAACTCTATAGACTTAAAAGCCTGAGCTAATACAGATAGACTAGCTACTGCTGGTATGCACACCAGCCACTAGATGGAGCCGAGGTACCTACTTGGCTCTGAAACCCAAGATAACAGTCAAGACACCCAATCTTCAAAATCTCTTTGGTTTTGTTACAGACCACAGTAAGAAGGTTTCTAAATCTGGTGTAAATCTTATCTGCTCCACTCTCAGAAACTTGTTCTTCACCCACTCACCTATTTAACTCCCATATCTGGGCTTGCTATCAAGACCCAGCCTGTACTCACAAGTCCATCGTCTCATCTACTCCCCCTTTGTCAACTGTTGCTCTTTTCTGATCCAGTCTGTCACCTCTGGATGCTTCCCCTGAAGGGCACAGGTAGCAGATTACTCAGAATGTGGGAGAATTCTTCCTTTGAACGCTGGTGCCAAGCTTGCTCCCAGAAGAAATTGTTTCCAGTAAGACCTGCTTGACTGCTACAGTCCTGGATGGGAACAGCCCAGCACAAGACTTGTCTTTCTAGACTGTGGTGGTTTAATCCAAGATTAGACATGTGATCCAGAGGGGCTGCAGCTATCTTCTCACTTGGCTTTAAACCCACAGGTTAAGGGAAAAGGTAGTGGTCTGCATGCAGCAGCACAAAATTCAATAGGATACAGTCACATAGGTGAAGCACATCAGCTTAACGTGTGCCCAGTACAACAATCCCTTACCAAGAATCATCAGCAAGTTCTTACACAGAGGAGCACTGAAGCTCTGGTGCAAAAAGCATCCACTTCTCTTGCATGTGGGAATAGCACAGCACCCTTACCTTAGACTTCTGCTTGGGTTTGTCCTGAGGGTAAAGGAGAAGAGGCACATTAGCCATGAATGGGGATGCCAGTTCAGAGAAATCCAGCTCTGGTATCTTATTGGACTGGAGTTGTTTCTGAAGTTTCATTGCTGCAAGGTGCTTCTGAAGGGACTGGCACAGCGAGAGGGCACTACACACGACTTCAGGTTTATCCTAGAGAAGACACATACATAAAGCTCTAGACTGATGGTACTTTTATATGAAGTTCAGAGTAGAGTCGTTCATCTGAAACACGATAGGAAGGGAAAATTTTTCACAGCAAGGAAGCAGTCTTCAAATTTACACCATTTATTGCAACACCAGTCATCCACCCAGGATGGAAGGATCATATGCACAATCTTACGTAGAAGAGAAATCAGGCATTGACAGGAGCACAGCTCTTAATTCCAAGAGTTGCAAATTATTATCTACTTACCAGCTCTTCTTTGATCATATCCATGATAACTGGTAGGTAGGAATCCACGATTTCTTTGCATTCAGAAACCAGGCCTTGGTCAGGAAGAAACTCGCATGTCTTTTCCAAGTAAGAGCGGATCTCATCCTATAAAAGATGAGGTGGGATATAGACTATCTCTTTATCTATATCTAGATAAACAAACATCTCAAATGCTCTTTCCATTCCCAAAATGCACCACAAAGCCTGAAAAAAGCTCCTTGGACTCAGGTAGGTCCAGGCAGCTGGCAAGCAAAACTAGGATGAGTTTTTACACGACAGGTCTATTTTCCCCAGCCTTGGACCTTCAGTCAGACCCTGCCAAAGTAAAAACATGAAATACTGCTTGCAAGGCCTGCACAACACCGTCTTATGCACAACGCAGTAATCCCAGGTTCACCAAAGAAAAAGGGAAGCAAGTGCCCACAACCAAAATAAAGCCCACTTGATATAATCATCTGCTTCTAGAGACTGCAGCACCCCACCTTTTAGATCAATGGCCCAAGAACAATTTTATTAAGCATCTACAGTCAATCAGGGATGTGTTAGAGCATGAGAGGCTCTAGAACTTGCTAATCTCCAAACCAGGAGAGGCTGTTTAAAAGCCTTTTCCCCTGTACTCTGGCCTCTTTCAACACCTGCGACTTAGTTTGGGAAAACATCATGCAGACTACTCTTCTGCCTTGCAATCTTGTTAAGACAATGAAATCAAATAGTGCCTTGGGGCAAGAAGGGGAGCTCTGCTTACCTCAGTGCCATTATCCTTCAAAACCTTGCCAGCCACTGTCACAAGTTCCTTACACAGGTCACAGGGGATGCTGTTCTGGAGAGAGAAGCAGAAAGTTACTCTGAGACAGAATTAAGTACGTGTGAATTTGCAGTGTGCAAATAACAACACGAAGAACAAGCGCCACATTTGGAATTGACGCTAAGGAGGGAAGAGGTGTTTTTAAATAAGAGTGAGGCTATTCCAAGCACATCCAGCTCCCATTGCTTCAGTAAATCAACATGATATGAAGAAGCAGGCATGCTACCGCTTGCTCATTTCACCTAGTCCCACCTCCCTTGAACTATAAAGTATATTGCCCCAAGATACCTTCTCCTGAACCTCTTTTACCTTACTCTTCAAAGAGTTCATACTTACTAGAAATTTAAGAACTTTTCAGGCAGCTTCACTCATTTTAGTTGTGGTCTGCCAGTCTGACATTCTTCTCCTCCCCTACTTTTCCACAAACCAAAATGTATCTTGGCACAGATATAGCCAAGGTGGACTGAACACACCTGTAAGTAAAATGCCCTTTTCCCCTAGAAAATTGTGAAACAATACCACAAACTACAGCACTCGCATTTAGCCCAAATGCAACTTGAAAAGCCACGCTAGATGTAATACTTGTACCATTATTTACTGTCATGGCTTTCATAATCTAGCATGTGCTGCACCTTTTGTGGAACATTAACTTATAAGAAAGACCTAAAGAAGCACACAGCTCTTTTGGTAATAAGCCTATCAGTTTGGCACAGCTCAAGTTATAAGAAAAGAATAAGAAAAGGCTCTATGAATTAGGAGCCAGTTTAATAAAGAGGAACAAGCCTGAAATCCACTAGCTCCATTCCACACATTGCTCGGTGATTGTGCAACAGGTCACAGGAGAAGTCAGCAGACAAGTTATGCAAGGTGGAGAAGTGGAAAGCAACCTTTATCTAGCACCCAAATGAAGGCATAATAACCAAGGCAGAGTCAGATGTAGCACTTAACTCCGATCAGAGACTTGAAAAATCTTCATCAGCATATGGAAACCAGCTACCTCTACTATGGGTGGGAAGAAGTAGTTGATACTTACCACAGTAGGCTTGTTCCAGACATTCTGCTGGCAGTGTTTCACCGCTCCGCACTGCGATGCCGTCCGAACGCTCTGACACCACACCTCCGGACCCTTCACGCAGTCCTTCTGCCACAAAACAGGGCTTGCCACAGCTGCCAAGAAAAGAATCACTCTTTCACACTTGCACACTTGAGTGATTTCCACTCCAAAGCAAGCAGGGTAATGCTGTACGCTATAACCACAACCTCTCCAGGATGCCACTTAGGTTTACTAACGTTTTTAAGCACATTTCAATCCAGCTCTTTCTGACCTGAAACATAAGAACGAGTCCCAGATACAGGTTACACAGTGAAAGACCTCAGGAAAACCGTAATGGTTGAACTTCCCTACTGAAGTGCCCGAGTCTCAGCACCTCAGCAGTCCACTCCTCCAACATCCACAAACCAAAACACTTTGCTTAGCACACAGGAACCACCAGACGACTTGAAACAGAGAAACTGCTCATTGCAGAAATCTACACTTCAGACAGCTGATTGACTCCCAAAGCCACAACCCCACCAACCCCCCGTTCTTCTGTCCCACTGTCTTTGCAGCCACTTTAACTCTGAACCAGCAGTCACATCTACCTCGTAATTGCTGTCTGCACTCCTTCTCCCAGGTGAGCCACCCTTTTCTCAGACAGCAACTGAGCACGCTAAGAAACTAATTGGATTAGAAGGCACAACGCACATGTTATGTGGAGCCAGGTGCAGCCCCCAAAACACTGATCACAAACAGAAAGTTTCAAGAAAGTCAGAGGGATGGAAAACGCGAGACCTTTTATCATGTAATTTTTAAACCCATTAAATCTGTTTAGATTTTGTTTCCTCCTGGTCAGTTCTTCAACTGCATACAGACCAATTTGTAGGGGTGAAAAAAGTACAAGTCCTTGTCTGGACATTACCTCCCACCCCACACGGAACTGCCTTGCAACCTATGAAGTTTTGAAGTAAAATACAGAATATCATTTCTGGACAGTCTTCCTAAAGAAATGCGAAAAGATCTGTGCTATTAGTAAGTAATAGGACAAGGTAATCAACTGCACCTTTTAGCTGACTTTCCAAGCTTTTTTTTATTGTGTTGTCTGGACTGGACACCCAACTTCTCCCCATTTTCTAAAGCCATCCTTTCTGACTGCTGAAGAAACTGAGCCTACCAATAATCTCCTCCAATTGCACTAACCTATGAAGAAACAAGTCCTAAAATCCTACCTCACACAGGCTCCAAGGAAATCTGCCACAGCCCAAGCCTACAAGGCACTGCTGTCAACGTAGTAGAAAAAAAAAAAGCCCATTCAAGCCATTCAAAAAGCTGCACAGGTGTTTTTTAGGAGCCATTACCTTCACATCAATGCTGTTTACATATCACAAAATGCTGTAAAATTACATTACCAACCAAGAAGCAGGAATTAAGCTGTTTGATTCCTACAAAGCTTCTAGTAAGGTTATGACAGATGAACAATCACTCTTCCATTTCTCACGTCTTGGTTCTAAGCAATTAGAGGATCAACTTAACAGCCGAATTACCAGTACATCTGCTAGGTACACAGCCAATACACAAACAGAGCCAGATAAACACTGCTTTATAGGTGGCATTCTCCAGCCCTCTCAGCTGTGCATTTATAAAGCCTGTTTACACTGGATTTCACAGAGGAATGACCCACTTATTTTAAGAAAAATGTGCTTTGCATACTTAATCTTCTACAGAAGAGCATGAAGTTTGCCACCCTCTCCCCCAGCAAAAAGCTTAGATTGCATACTATTCTTCAGCAAGACAGCACATTAGGATATAAGACTAGGAATAAGACTTCAAGCCTTCTAATAACATAGTTAGCAAAATATTTACAGACAGCCTATTCTAAATTACAGCATTATTGATCTGGAAGCACTAGGGAGAGTTAAGTTTCAAAGTCAGACTGGTCAGCCAAATAGCTGTCAGCTCTGGCAGGACGACAATAACCAAGTACACACTTGGTTGAAGGAGAGAGTTATTCTTCCCTCTCAGATACTGAACAATGGTAGGACGGCTCTGCAAGGCAGAGTCAAAGTCTGGCTGAAGTCAAGCAAGACCTTGACTTTAAATAGTGGAATTAAGGGCTTCCGATTGTTTAGAAGTATAGCTTTTAACCTACGCCTTTAGTTCTGTAAATCAGAGGAATATTATTCCCCCTCCCCTGTAGAACTACAAAACTAGACTGTAAAACTGTAACAATGGTTATTCCAAGCAGTTTCTCAAACTTCTGATCTAAGAAGCCATTTAAAACCCAAACCGAGGAATTCTTGCCACAACTTGCGCTGCTTTGATCTAGCTCTTAATGAACTTTCAGTCTTTGTTTGGCTTTTTACTAAAGATCCTGTCACTGTATGAGTTTTCAGATCCACACCCAGTTTTGGCAGAATATTTAACAGCTAGTCTTGTTCCTTCTTCCTCATAGCCTCTGACCTGGTCATTTGTAAGCGCAGGACAACTGTGCTTCAGATTTATGCTTACTTATCAGCTTTTTGGACTGTAAGTCTCAAACAAATTCCCTGCTGCCTGGCTTCTGTATCAAACAGATGCTCACACAGAGTCAGTCACTAATGTTCTGACCTGCCAGGACACAGCAAAGGGTATCGGCAGGGCAGCAGGGTTTTGTCAGGTTACGACACTGAGGCAGAAGAAAACCAAAGAGCAAGTTGGTAGTCTGAGATCCTTTGACCTGAGCAAAGTGCAGGTTGCAGAAAATTGTATTCAGAAAGAAAAAATAGTATTAAAATTAGATTGATTTTTGACAGTACATTAACTACTTGATGCCTCTGATTGCACTGCTTCCCTGCATCACATCTCACCAGTTTGGAAGTTTTGTTCAGATTCTGCTCAAAGCACTGGCACTGAGCACACAGCCACTTTGGATTTGAGAATAAGGACATTAATGTTATCTGCCATCCTCTACAGGAGACTAAAGCCACAACATCTCAGTAGAGCTTGAGATCAGCATGGGCAGTGAAGAATGAGAAACATCGAACTGTTTCTAAGTCAGTGAACAGTGAAAACTTGTTTTAGGATGCAAGTAAGCACCCCAAACACCTTCCCACTGGTATTATTTACATGCCTCACTCCTGCACGACATTAGGGCAAGAGGAAATGCCAATATACCTTCTTTTTCCACCAAAAACCCCAATAGATTCAGGAAACTTGAATCAAGCTATGCCAATGAGGATTAACATCCACCTACAGAAAACAGGAAGTGGAGGAACAGCAGTGTCATTTTAGTTATGAAGGACACTGAGGGAGTTCTTTCCTTCTGAGAAGACAACTCTACATTTGATGCTTTCAGCACAGATCTTTCTGGTCCAACCATGACTTGGCAAATTTGTTAGGGCCACATGTCGCTGGGCACATTTTAGAGAGCAGCTACAGAACAAAGATGACGCACGCTAAGCATGGCTTCTTTACTTCATCTTCCACAGTGACTTTAGATACAGTTAAGCTTGTATTAGTTTATTCTGTATTATGTTGAAATATTTTTATTACATAATGTCTGATATGAAAGGATGCACCTTCATTGCAACAATATCATAGAATCGCTTTGGTTGGAAAAGACCTTTAAGATCATCGAGTCCAACCTTTAACCTAACCCTGCCATCCCACCACTAAATATCCACCTTCCCTTTCCGAATGTCCTGGGAAAAACAGGAACAAAACACCTCTGAATTAACTCTAATCTTGCAGATTCAGAAAAGCCCCTGAAATCCTTGCCTGTTCCCGCTTTCTCCTTTAGTTTGTTCTCATACTTAATTTTGAGACAGCATTAACTTACACCACAACAAAAGCAAACATGCCAGCAAAGTGTGTTAAGACCTTGTGCTGTTTCACAACAGAATGAAGAGTTTTAAGTCTTAACAGTTATCCTGCCTGTTCCCTCAAAATAGCCTCTGCTGCAAGAAGAGTGACACCTTAATGTGCTATTTCACATCCCCAGCACAGCAGCAAGCCAAGGGAAAACAAAGCACCATCAGTTACCTCACACAACTCCTAATGCTCACTGGATAAACCCAATGGGATTACCTTCTTAGTATCTCTGGCATCCTTTTATTTTACATATTGTTCTTTATCTAAGGTCATCCATTTTTAAATAGATTTCTCCTTTCTCTACAGATTAGCTCTCAACAGTCACGTGTCATGCCCACCCAAATCTGCCCCTCCCCTTCCCCCCAAAATTCTTGCAGGCCACTATTTTTAGAGCACCAAACAAGTTTATCTGTGAAGGCCAGGGTGTTTCTTTACTCGTCCTCTTCACTGATTCCTCCGTTCTTGAACTGCTTCAGAGTCACGGTTTCTTCAATTTTAGAAGGAACGATCTTTGCTCCACCAAGCTTGTCCTAAATTAAGCAGTGAAAGAAAACGGAGGAGGAAGGAAGGGGGGGGGAGGGTAGAAACGCAATCCCTGTATAAAGGGTACATCTTTCAGATGTGAAAGACTTCAGCTTTCAGGCTTCTAGCCAAGCTGACAGCCCACAGGCACCCTAGGATCCCTGCATACACTTGCAGCTTCTTGAAACAAAGAAATGAAAAAAAAAAAAAAAGGAGAGCGATTCATACCCACTCTGACCTCTCTGATGCTCGTGTCTGAGAGACAAGAGAAGCCATCTCCCAGAACAAGCGTTGCCTCAGAAACACAGCCTGAAGTCCAACAACATAATCAAAATACTCCACAAGTTGAAGGGTAGCAGCAGAAAAGGAAGGAGAAACCTTTTCTTTGAGGCCCAGGTCAGCAACCTAACACTGCCAGCACACCAGTAACACAGTCCTGACAAGCGACAGCTACTGCACATCGCATGGGGCCCTGCCAAGGAATTCACACAAAACCCAGTTTAAAGGCTGCCAAGATAACAGGGAATCTGCTACTTGCTCCCATAGTGGTACTACCCTACTTACTGCAGGGACTGTGCATTACTCCCAGACACTCTTCAAAGCAGCAAATGCCAACTATGATCTCCTTCCTCAACACTAGGCATCTGGAACAGCAACCCTAACATATGATCAGAAGTCAGGGAAGCAGGGGTGACAGCCCTCTCTGACACCACCACCTTTTCTACTTGGAAAGCTTACAGAGCCATGCACATGAAAGCACAGTTCAGTTCACCTCTCTTCGGGAAACAGGAATCTAAAAGGAAGCTTATAATGGCTGGATTACCATTCTGGAAAATTGTTAGGCAATTACCTTTCCTGAGAATGACCGTCCCTCCCCTCAAGCATTTGTTATTCCCCTTATAGGGAGAGCCAGCCCGAGTTTCTTCCCGAGATTCTCAGAAAAATCTCCTAAGCAATCCCCTCCAAAGCTGTATTGAATCTACTAATAAGACTTTCATGATCATGCTTAGAAGTTAACACCCTATACAAGCTTCTATTAAGAAGGATTCTCTGTGAGCCAGACCAGATTCCCTAAAAAGCCAGAGGATAAACCAGAAAACTTATCACCCAGAACACAGAGAAAATCAGCTTGAAGACTCAAGCCTCCTCCAAATCTAACTGCTAAGACGACCTTAGCATGAGCAGTATTTTTACAGACAAATTAACCTGCAGTTGACAAGAAAAGGAAAGAGCTGAACTGCTGTTCACTTTAATGGGTTGAAGTCAAATGTGGAAGATTACTCAGGGTGTTGTCAACTCTTATGCCTTCATGACAACCTAATTTGTTCTGAGTATATTATTCATCAGGAGGGACTCTCTTTCCCAGGTTGTCCCAATTGGCCATGCCAAAGAAAGTCCACTCATCATCTCCCAGAAATGGCCCCACAGACCAAGTGAACGCATCAGTCTCTGCCATTCTGCGTTCAGTTTCTTCTGAGAACTGCACAAGCAATGTGTGTTTAAGTTAAAGAAGTCAAGAGGGATAAACTTCTCTTCCTCGAATCTTACAAAGTGTCAACAAGTCAAGGAACAACCTCAACCTGAAGTTACCTGAAGGGCTCAATACTCTAGAGTCTCTCTGGTCAGTTAGGGAGCTTAAGTAAAATTTCGAAAGTTGTAACCACATCACATGCTAGTAATTCATGCCAAAGGTCTACTACACCTCTGGATTAATGAGGCAGTAAAACCACCACAGTATTTGAGAGATTACAGGCAATTTGCAGAAGAAATGGATGAAATCTGGCTAGCTGTTATCAGTGTTCCAGATGTCAGTTAAAAAATCTTCCTGTGCAGTATCTACTGATCAAATATCAAGCTTGAAATGTTTGTAACTAGCACAACCCACAAGAAACAAGTTTGGAGTTAACGCCGTAATTGGGCTCATCCTCAAAGTGGAGCACACATTCTCGTTTTGGTACGCTACCTCTGCTGTAAAACATTGTTCTTGCTTCAGATGCTCCCTTGCTTCCCTCACCAAGAGAGACAAGCATAGCAAGAGAAGCAGTTTGTGTACGTACAAGCAATCACAATAAAGATAGCAGAGAACAGAATGAGCTGAGACCGTAAAAATCAGCTCTACTGTCCCAGTAAATTCTCCCAGTTACTATAAAGGTTGCAAGAATAATTTTCACATTGACCACAGGTTGCTACCAAGTTGCCAAGCAAGCCACAATTTCTGCCTGAGATTTTTCTGTGACAGAATCTAGAAGAGGTATTTGGATGTTCAAGGGCATTTGGCAGTCATCAGGAGCAAGGAGTGCCACACAGTATATTAAGATATCCCAAGAGGTTATGAGAAGCATTTTTCCCTGCAGCAGATCCCTGCAGAAATATGCCTACATGTTTTTAACATGCTTGTTGTCCATCTCCATTCCTCCTGGGTTTGTTTTGAGTTGGGGGGGAGGGCAGATTTCAAGCAAGTCTCTTGCAGAAATTCTATATTGAATACCCTCCTTTCACCAGGCAAATATATTCACACCACAAAGAATGGAAAAAATCTGCTAGTTATGCAAAGAGTCATGTCTGTAAGAGAAAATGCCTGACCACAGGTTACGCTGCAGCTCCAGCAAAGGACAGGTGAGTCCAGAGCCATCTAAAAGCTTCAGAAAACAGAAGGGCAGTTCAAGACACCACCACGAAGAAACAGAAAAGTCTCGGGAGTAACGCTCTTTTTCACACTGCTGCCGGAGAAGGGCTTTAATGCAGGATGAATGCCAGACATGGAAGACAACTCAACAGGAAGCTCCCCTAGGGAAAGGGAAGACATCAGCCCCCCACAGCTGAGCAGAGGAAGCATGCCAGAGGGATGAAAAGGGACATTTTAAAGAGCAGCTTCAGGGAGGACAGCAGTTAGCGATGGGAGAGCCTAGAAAAGGCAAACTGTAGTGCACAAGGTGAAAGAACAACCTACCTCCCCAGGAGTACAGCGATGAAGCAGTTGATAGCAGGAAAGAAGAAAGCATTAACCCCTAATGTGTGCATACTAATAGCTTGCATCACAATATGAACATTGTCAAAGGATTTTTAAACTGTTATGCCTGGAAAAAACAAGCCTTGAAATCTCACTGCAAGATTCATTTCCTCAGCATCTCCAAGAAAATCTCTCTATATGCAGATGTTTACAGAAGTAGAGAACAAAGTTTAAAAACTAGTCAGGGTAAACAGTGTAAACGTGAGACTCCTCACTCCAGGAGGAAGAAAAATACTGATATCTGAAATTAAACATTGCTCCGTGACCAAATACACAGACAAGCGTTGCCTCAAAATATATGCACACACTTGAAACGCCACAGAAGTACCCCCTTTAACTTGCAATAGGAACTCTCCTATCTTAAAAGCAGCAAATTAATTGCATACAAAAGCTGCTACATAATTAAAAAAAAAAAAAAAAAACAGAAAATGGACTGCAAGTAAATATCCTTAAAGGAAAAAAAACCAAACACAACCCCTTTTTTTTGGTCATGTAATTCCCAAGCCTGCTTTAAAGAATCAGATCCACATGAGACACTGCAACAAAAATCCACTGGCAGTAAGCTGTAACTGGTCCTGCTTCCCCCCCAGATAAAAAGTAGAAATCTTCCTGCCTGTTACACCATAAAACCCTGCCTGAAACAGCACAGTCCAACCTCCCCAAGAGTGCCAATTGACATCACCGTCACCTGATGGAGTCACGTTTGGTTTTTGCTGACAAGCTCCCACTCTCTTGTTCCACCCTCTACATCATCTCGCTTTCCCAAAACTGCTTCTTTGTGATATGCTGAATAGCACAAACCGAGATAGCAAAAAGACCGCCTCAGACTTGAGAGGCCCTGCAGATGCGATCGCATGTTTTGCCGTGCGTGACCATGACCAGGCAGAACAGCTTGCGCAGCTCCTCCAGACGCAACCAAGAACAACTTTTTCTATTTATACCTCTTCTGCAAACAGGGAGGAGATTGTGCAAGGGCAGGTTTACACAACCCACGTGACTGATGCACTATCGAAGCACCGCTTCGTTATGAGACAGTTGTAAGGTGCCTCACAGCCGCAGCGCTCCCTGTTATTCCTCTAGGAAAACAGGGATGTATTTTTTAGAAATAAGACTCCTTCCACTGTTTGCTTAATTTCATCTACAGTAGTGGGCTGCACCAGCCTAGGTTTTTTTGTTAGCAACCACATTCCCAACTAGAGCAAGCCTGCAAACCACAGAACACAGTCCGAGTTCAATTATCTGCGTCTTCCACATCCCCCAGAAAATTCAAGTCAGACTAACTCACCCTTCAATTTTCCTATTCCCAGATGTTCTGACCAGTGTTTGCTAGAGGAATTATACATTAGTTTGAAATCTTGGAAGGATGACTGAGCCTACTATTTTAAGGGGGCGTGAAATAATCACACCCTCAAACTTTTTTTACTTTCTGCTCCCAGCTTAACTTTCATTTTACAAAGATGAAAAAAAAGTCAGCCCAAGACAAACTGAATTCTGTTTTAACTGCACACCCGACTTTCCTCCTTTCCTGGTCTCAAAGACAAGCGATTAATCAAAGTCCATCTTGGTAGTCCAGGGAACCAGAGTCCTGTACACCCTGCTTTAATTCCTTCAAGTCTCCCTTAAAGGGAAGATGCACAGAAGCACTCTTAAGTAGGTCAACCAAAAACCCTTGTGGCCTACCAGCCATGCTGTAAGCCAGCCAAGTAACTCCATTAAGACACGCCAAGGGAGGCTAGGTTTTGATACAGCTAATCAGTTAGCTTAGTAGACGAAAATGGCATTTCAGGTCATCACAGCAAAATCTTCAGAAAAACCTCCACAATACTATCGTAGGTGAGTCAATTGGTATTCATAACAGAACCTTGGTGAAAAAAAAGACAGGTGTCCGTGTCAAAACAGTGACTTCCTAAAAGAAAAACAGGCCTAACAAGTCTTCTTGCTATGCTCAGTTGCATATGCATGCCTTTAACAGGTAGACCAAGCTAAGTCTCATTGCTAAACTGGTTTCTCATTACAATTTCCCTAAATACACTAATGGGAAACCTTGTGGATACTTCAAGGCAAATCCTTTTCACTTTTAAAGCACAAGAAACTACAATGATTTTAGTGATTTGGAAACAGTCCCAATACGAATGATAATCGATGGCAGTTAATTCAGCGCAGAGCAGACACAAAGCTGCATTATTAAAGCAGAAAAATCTGCAGAGCGAAAGCTGACATTTGCTTTCTTGTTTCCAGCCTGAAAAGCCTCAGATTCTCCATTAAATCGTCCACATATCAGTATATTACAACTCCACTTAAGTACAAGACTAGCGTACAATTGTGCAAGATCTCATAGGCATAATTTACTGCAGTCTGCCAGTTATTCCTATGGCTTTTGAACAGCTAGTCAGGCTTTTTTTAGTTGACTTGTGAAACGCTGCAGATTAAACACATAAGCAAATAAGCTCTAGGTTTAAAATTGTCTTATATAAAAGAAAATTCTCCGAAAAAATTGCGTGCATCACTGTATTACAACCTTCAATTTTGGGGTTTGTAGCCGTTTGTATCCTACAAACCGAAGGTGCATTACTCCTCCAGTCAGCCTGTGCATCATTTCTGTAGCTCTGCCTAGCTTTGGCAAAGTATAAAACACAAGGACTGGCTTTGCTAACCTCCAGTCCTTACGCTAAAAGTGGAAGATCAGTTATTCCCCACCACCACTTTCACCTCGGCAACAACAGGTAACGAGGCAGCACGCAGCAACACGAGCGGAATTTTCCATGTGGAGCAGGAGACCCTAATGAAATCAGGCTGCTAAAAGCAGGCAACAGAAAAAGGCTACCTCTTGCCACCTGAAAGAGGATTAACACCCATCTATCCCTGAAGTGCCAAAGATAAACAGAGCTATTGGCAGAAAAACAGTTTCTACCGATCGCTCTCTTTTGGCTCCGTGAGGCGAACCAACCGCTTGCCCGATGAGGGTCGGACAGGGACACAAACCGATCCCACCCTCCCACCGGGACGTCCTTCTCCCACCAGCAGCGGGGAAGGCTGGTTTCTCACCGGGACTTTCCCCTTCTCCTTGCGTTTACCTGCCTCGCTCCTCTGGGGCGATTCCCCCCCAACCCCAAACACAGCTGTTCCACCACAGCCACCCCAAAGGCGCCCTCAAACCCCGGCCCTAGGCCCAGGCCCTGCTCCCCCGGCGGGACCGTTAGGCCCCACACCGAGCTGCGCCACCGCCCGCCACCCTCCATTATCGCTGCTTTCTCTGCCTGCGCTTTCGGCAGCCGGGCCCGGCAGCTCCTGCTGGGAGAAGAGAAGAGAAACAGCTT